GGAAAGAGTAATCATGGGCTCGAAGCCACTGCAAGCTCCAATTCCCATCCGTATCTTGACATTCCTGTAATTGTATTTCACATTGTGTTCTGCCATGAAGAAAGAATAGATAGTGAATAAATGTTGGAAAATGTCCAAGAATTTTTCGCTCGCCGACAAAAAGGTGTTATTGCACACAACCGAAGTCGAGCCAATGCAATAACAAACAACAACGAATTCAAAGTGAAATGTGAAACTTGTGTCTGAAGAGATACAGGAGTAGATGTACATGCGATTGCGCAAAGTTGAGCTCGCTGTAAACACTCGACAACGCCCAAGTTGGTTATGCCAAAAAAAGGCGGACGGAGACGGGCCACTGAAGGAGCACCTCATTTAAAAAAAAAAAACATTAATCACAAAAAAATTTGTTGAGAAGTTAGATATGAATTGCTAGTCTCATGATATTATAATAGATGGTAAATGAATTGCATTGCATCGTGCAGAATTAGAATATGAATACGGCAGAATTTATCAAAAGTACACGAGAAAAACGTGGTGCTCTCAGCATGGTACACTTATGACCGCTCAGATTACGAGCAAGCGAATGAGTAGCCGAAGCCGTAGCTAATCTGTACTATGATAAAAGGAACTGTCTTCGGGTCACGACAGCGAAGAAAAAAAAGTCCTGTTGTAAGTGGGTAGACGAAATCAACGGGCACTATAAGAATAGTGGACTACTCGATATCCTAACCTGTTCAGTATGATGGAACTCTGTCCAGTTTGGAATGAGAGCATATAATACGTGGAGTGCTTCTTTTTCTGCATTGTCTTCCACCTGCAACTGTTTGTGCGTTTTTCTGTACAAATAACTCCTCCTATTACACATCACAGTGTAAGGTAAGGGAAGTGGGCGACAGTAAGGACGCTCACGCACCGCCCGTAGAAAAAACCACAACTAAGTTTGAAATCACTGAAATACATGTTAAAGGAAAGAAAAAAAGAACATTAGGTAGCCTTTCTTGTAAAGAATTTTCAGGTGTTAAAATTATTATTCATATCGTTTATCCAGTGTAGAATCAGAAGGAGCTCCAATTTCACTCATTTATGTGAATGAGACAGCAAAAAAAAAAAATCAAATAAAGTCGCCTAGGATTTGATAAAACATCAGCCCATTCAGAGCTCCGAATCACAGCTTGACAGGCCAACATTCACATTGTCTTTTGAACCTAATTACTATGTATAGCGAAATCAACGTTTATGATTAGTCATAATGTGCGACGGCACACCGATGAACTCTTCCACATGTTTTTTAGGGATTGTGAAGAAGGCGAATTCCCTGAAAGGTTAGCTTAAGTGTTTGAAGAAGATACCAACTTTACGCAAGCTTGATGTAAAAAAAAAAGCACTTTCGTTAAACAATATTTATCTAGTAATTAGTGAACACTAATATAACGCAGCAAAACTAGCTTTTATGATCACTTGAACTTGTTCGATTTGGCTTTTTGTTGGCCGCAGGAAAACAAACGGCAAAACATTACATGTCACATTATGTTCCTACAAAAATGTTACTCGTGAACTTCTTTTGGGAGCTTAACTTTTATCATTTTTGAAGATTAGAGTTGATTTGTTTAGGTGATACACTTTAATAGCACATTTATTAGGTTGTTTCTTGACAATATGATTAACGACTTTTCATAAAGTTCCGTCGAGTTTCGAGCTTCTGCAGAAATGTATTGAGTTGAAAAATGTAATAGTCCATTAGAATATATGTAGAAGACAAAGGCGCATAGACAGCTTTTTGGGAGTGATCAGTGTACATCTACTACGCCTGTAAATAGTAGTGAAAAATGGAAGGACACATATGAACGTCTTCTGTATGACACACTGAACTCAACGGTATTGAAGCATCCTGCTGATGATCCCGTGACGCCGTGAAGAAACGTAGGTCTATCTTGACATGTCTTCGATTTTCTTCTGGCTCATTCGCTGCGGTATGACTTACGATAAACCTGGCCCTTCATTGGAAGTTACCCTTGAACGCGATTTTATATGCACCGAAATCTGTAGTTAACAACCAATAATCGTAGATAGGGCGTCGAATACGTTTCTTGAAATCATCATTCTCCTTTTCGGTCTAGTTTTTTGTACCGTTCGAAAGAAGAAAATTTCAGTTCAGAAAAAGGCAGACTTTGAGGGACGGAGTTTGCGGCCCAATAGATGGCTCATGCATGGAAATCTGTAGCCACGACGCGAAACGTCCAATATGCTCAAGAGCTCTTTGGAGGTCACTCGGTGCGACTGTTGACTGAACATAATAATAATATGTAAAACAGACCTAACTTTGACTTTAGTATTACCAATTAATCATATATTCCTTTTTGATTAGGCTATAGTTGATTGAGCCCTTAAGCTAGCCGACATTTGAACCGATTAGTGCAAGATGGACAGTCCGGTGAAAGACAAATACTATCAACAGACGATTACAATCCTCAGGAGTCACCCTGTGCTAGGGAAATCGCCAAGTGAGGTTCTTCATTTGAGCGATGCCCACGATCGAGAACGACAGCGAAGACCCCAGCGAGAGCGAACAATAGTGGGCAATCGACATGGATTTTCGGCAAGAAGACGAAACGCGTCGAAACGTTAGCCAAAAAAATTCCATTTCATCAACTCTGTGCTATGACCTCATCAACAAGGAATATGTGTGTTGAGCTGATTTGATGCGAAATTTAGAACGCTTACGTGAGACTTGCAAACCTGTCAAAACATCTACATCAACGAGACTTTTGTGTTTTTTTAGAGAAAATGGTATTCCCCTAATTCATTCACATTAAAGATACAAAATCAAATCTATGCCTGCAATTCTTGAACCTCAAAATCTATTGAATGAGTTAAAGTATAATGAGATCAATTAAGTATAATTAGTCACTTGGCTGCCACACATAGCGAAGTGACCAGATATGCACTGCAATACGTAGTTCGACCTTGTGATCAAGGCAAGCCAAGCCTCTAATCCTTCTGTGTTTGGCAAATTAGGACCTTACTGGTCTGGGAGCATAAGAGCACTGACACATGCGTAGACTTCCACAAGCCATTTATGGTTTGACTCACTCATGTGATGTTTGATGAAGTTGTGTACACGGCTCATAGCTTAAAGAAGGATTAAAGCAGAATGCTCAATATTTATCAATCAATCCACAAAACTGACCATGGGTGTTTAGAATGAAGTTTGAGTGTTGCATTTGATCAGAAATTGGATACTCTAAGTAGCCGGAGAGTACTATTTTTCATTGATATGGCGGCGATGTTGCGTTCTAAGAAGGATGGCTATGTTTACCTAATAGAAAAAGACATTGGTTGGTCGACACTTAGAAATGATACCAATCAATTATATGTATCAAGAGAAAATGCGCTGTTGTACAACAAGTTTGCCTCATAACTGAAATGAAATGGCAAGGATAAAGGAAACGAAGGAAGAGAGAAGCGAAAAACATAATGAAATCCATGTCTTTTATATAGGTCATCATCTTAATCGTTTATCCTAATGATTACATTATAGCATTCACTACAGTCATCAGAATTTCATATTGTTTTTGATGACTTTACTCTCAACTATTCATATAGACCTCGACCAGAACAATAACAATCTGATAACATGATTATAAGTTTTGAGTCTCTTATGAGGTTTGATACGGTACTTACACAATACTAGACAGCTCCTATCTCGCCCTTGCAGACGTCTGAGTAACACGGTGCTTTTAGTCTCAGCCGGTACCTTGCAGGGGTATATATCCCTATCTATAAAGAAATCGAATTGTTTGAATTAACCGTATGTCTAGTGACAAAATCCCCCGACATAGCAGTGACTACACTTGAGCGCTTATGGCTGGTATAATGAATCAGGCCTTTACTATCGATTGTTTAGATATACCTTGCTCGGATTATCAGATTGTTATTGCTTTTGATGCGTATCGAAAATAACTGAGCGTTCTGAAATCAGTTTACTATGTCTCAGCTCATTATTAAGACATCCGCAAACACTCGTAACCTCTATGGAAGCCGTTTATAAAGCGACACGTTGGCCGGTATGACTTTTATGATCATTTTTTCCGACGCTTTATTTCGATTTGCAAAGACTTTTCCCGTACTTTTTGTAACCAACTGGTAACTTATGTAATACAGATGTAAAATGTTAAAGGAGAGCTTTCCTTTTGATAATTTCTAACTTAATGCGTTTCTTTGCGAGAGTCTATTGTTCTTGGAGAAAGTGTGAGGCATAAAGAATATAACGATGAAGATGATACATAAGCGAGCGGTACTAGCGATGATGAAGATGCAATGGATTATCGAGAGAGTAGAGAACAGATTTCTACTGAGAAAGGTGAAACGGATAAGATAAGAAAGCAAGCATTAGGACTGGAAGCTGGTAACTTCGATGATGCATCTAAAAGCAACTAAACTGTCAAATTGGGCGTGCCTAATTACCAATCGTCAGCAGATAACCGTCTGTATTTGACTGAAAACAACCGTTCCGGTCTCCAGCTGCAAGTCGAAAAACGATCCATCCGCCATTCAGAGACACTAACGGCTGCTTTGACTGATTGCCTGACTTTTTTAGTTATATATCATTGAAATAATAACTATCCAATGTTATGCAAAAAAATCAAGCCTGGATCTTAGTGGTGTCTTGAAGAATTTCTGTTTGAAGTTATTAGTCGACTTGTCGACACTGGGATCCGCATCATGAAAATTGTAATGAGGGGTCGTATAAATAAGTAAATAAATGAAATAAATAATAACTTGCGTACGCACGAAAACCACTAACGTACCATCCTCGAAAAGGCTTTAAACATTCTTGCGGACTATAATAACTTGATATATGTTAAACTAACTATAACAACTTAATATATGTTGAACTCAATATATGTTCAATGTCGATAATGACTGCCCCGCCACACCATAGACGGTTGGCTGTTGACAAATAACGCGTTGTAGCGTAGAAAGAGTGGAGTGCAAAACGAACGTCGGTGGTGCAACGGTTTAGCCATGCTCCCGGAAAGAGTAGATACGGGTTCGAATCCCGGCTGACGCGACGTTTTTGCACACCACTCCACATCATTGGATTTATAATAACTATTTTACTACTCATTAACTAACTTGTTTATTCATAATTTGTTTCATTTCTCCACATGGCCGCCGCTCCTGCCCCTCTCCCCCTCCCTCGCCTAAAGAAAAAAGTCATCGCAGTACTTGAAAAATTGAAAGCAACGAATTACTGGTCAAAAAGATGCTGAACACTGCCTGCGAAGACAGTTCAAAATGGCATAGGCATTTCTGCTCCTCTTCACTGACCCCACTCTTTATGCCTCACACTTTCTCCAAAAACCGAGAAAGTTAAGAGACATGATGAGCATTGGTCTTTTTCTACATCCAGCCTAAGCCTCAAAGGGTAAAGATGCATTCAATATGATATAATCACTACCGTGCATTTTATACAATACATTCGGCACAGTGCAACCTGGAACGGGAGAACAGGGCAACGGTCCGTTAGTGGAGAACAAGTACAGCGATTATGACGCGATGGATTTACCTAGTATTTGGATAACTGATCTAAAGTCAACAGTTGAAGTCAGTAAGGACGCTAGTAGCGAGTCATTGTGCCCCTCCATTCTAGTCGACTTAGTCGAACATAAGAATATGAATATAAGAATCATCGAACAGAATATAGGCGAACACTACAACAAGGGGCGAACTACTGTCAGCAGTAATATCCGCTCGAATCAATCAACTCTAAAGAAGACGAAACGCGTTGAAGCGTCAGCCGAAGGAATAAATTAGTTTTTCCATCAACTGCGTGCTTTCGCTTAATCACCAAAAAAGGGCTATAATGGTTGCCAATGGGGCGTAAATACTATCTCTAAATCCGATCGTACAGCACCACTGGACGGAGACGAATACACACTGGCCCAGAATCAACATATCATTTTTGTCATCTTTTATCATCTCTATACCTACTGTCATCGAACTACCACAGTTGTTTTGAGGCTTCTGCTCCTTTCGAGGCTACAAAAAGTGTGAAGGAAAATGGAAGGAAAAAAAATTTTTGAAGAAGTGGTGCAATAACAACGACTCGTTTGCTCTTCTATCGAATTTATTAAGATTATTAATTTTTTTGGAAAAGCTATACAAAAAAGACTTCAAAAAATTCAAGTTTACTGCTCTGTCAGGATTTTCCGAGGTTCATCATTTCAAACAAGTTGATAATAATGATTTGAATAATAGCTACTCAATGACAATATTTCACAAATTTGCCTCACACGAACACTATTCGTCCATGCTTCATCTACAAGCCCTTTAACACTTTGTGGACGATGAACGGCATTTTGATCCTCAACATTTGAAGGTCCTTTTTATTTGAGCAATCTTTTTGTTGAATAATCATTCAACAGCTTAAATCTCAGAAATTCTGACACTCTAATTGGTTTTCAAAAAAGGCCTTTGTAGTACCCTGTAACAGCCAAACCAAATCAATTTTCACATTCGCTTTGCATTAAATGCTCAGCTAAAGTCTGTGGATCGCTTTTTATCGAACTTCAGTTAGCTCATTCGATAGCTCAAATCCTGGTGAATTTCATGCTCAAACTGGTTTTCAAAAAAGTCTCATAACACTGTGAGAGCAAAAATAAAATTACGTTTCATATCCGGAGTTTTCCTTGCACGTAGGAGTTATATGTGCACAGAAAGTATGCAAACATGTAGAAAAAACCATGTTCTACCAGAGTGGTGCAAAGAACCTGCACTATTTCCTTAAACGAAGAAAAGAAAATCTTTTTCGAAGAACAAAAATCGAGCAGCACTGGTGATACAGATTATGCTGCCATCCGTAAATAGTTAAATATGCCGATCAGTTGGCCGTTTTTCTGACCTATGTTTCCCATCTTTTCTCTTCCTTTTCTTTCTGGCAACTAAACAATAGAACGACGGTTCAAAATACTTAGTAGAACCCAGCTTTTTCGCGGATCCTTGGAAAATATACATTGAAATAGGCGCGCACATAAATATCGCACTTTAATCGAGCGGGAAAATTTATTTTAAAAAAAATAAGGAGAATATTGTCTTAATTCACCATGAAAGGGAAAAAAGCGTAAGCAATTGATAAAGGAAAGAATTCTGAAAAAGACGGAGAAGGATGAGAACGATGACAATAAGAACAAGGTAAAGGAAAAAGCGTATAGAAAAAAAGGAGACAAAACCAATTGAAAGGTCAGGAAAGGGGGTAGAAAGTAAAAGGTAGAATAAAATAATTAACTGTTTCAGTAATACTAGTCCCACGTAGCTTTTAAGGACCCTGAGCACGCTACCATTTCCACAATTTTTGGACGATCTTATAATTACATGCTGGAACACTTCTGTCAGAAGTTTAGTGAACTGACAGAGAAATTCAAGACCTCGATCACTCTCACTCTTGCTAAAAAAAATTGGACATCTGCGATTATAATGATCTCTTTTGCTCATCTTTACGGGCAAACGCAGAAAACAATTGTCTTATTGCAATTTTCGCATGGTTGCATTGTAATTTGCGCATTTAAAAACGTCCAAAGAATGGTGATTGAGGTTTTTTATTTGATGACTAAACGTGATTTGATTTCCACTTTGCCCAATGAGATCTTCCAGAGTTTGGTTTAGTTAATTCTGTTTCATAAACGACCTTTAAAACTAGTTGTCACTCACATGCAACTTAGAGCTACCAGTTTGTCTTGATTCGCTTCATTGACCTCCAACTTACGAATTTTCACCAGTCACTTCCTTATTGCAAGCTCAGTTGAGGTTCTTTACGTCTCTCCATTTCTTGAGCGGGCTAAGGAAATTAGCGGAGTGTACGCTTCACGAAAACTTGGGAACACTTTGAAAATCCAGATATGTTACTAAAACATTAAGAAAATGGGAATTTCCAAGAATTTCTTCAACTCTCAAAGTGGCTGAGGCGTTGGTCCAGTCCTGAGCTGCATAAAAGAGCGCTTGGTGGATCACTGAATACAAAAAATGTTGCGCCATAGTGTTGCAACCGCTAGGCATCTGCGGCTCCTCTGAGATGCTCGAATATTAGCGGTCTGTTTCCCATCGTGTCATATCTTTTGGGTCCATCGGATTTTCTCATGGTTTATCCGCAATCGTATCCGTTTCCATGCTACTCCCGACTTTTTGAACACTTTCTCTGCTTCATTTTTACTTTATCGCTTTTCACTGCGCGGATCCCAGTACCTATAATTCAGTTCCTCTCCTCGAGTTCATCGCTTGATTGATTTGTCTTCATCATGAGCGTCGTAAAACATTGACTGAGCACATCACCTTGAAATTTCGAAAAGAGCCAGGCTAGGGAGTTTCGCAAAGTGAGTAGTTGGCAAAACTAAGAGTTGATAGTAATTTCTTGCAATTGCGTAGGTATTCATCTTGTCCCGGCCCTATAAATTTATTATCCACTGTACGCTGTGATTAGCAGCTTCTTCGAAATGGTGTCACTTGCGAGACTGATTTTTCCATCAACACAATAGTTCCACGGACACTATCGGAAAATCTCCAATCTTGGTGATGTGAGGCTACGTAGGGCGCGCGATGGCGTAGAATAGAGTTGAGCGCAGAGAGTGAAACAATTCACGCTATGAGCTCCATGTTTCTTCAGTGTTATATCAAAATGTACACTGCACATTTACAGAGGCGTATTCATGCATATTTGCTTCGACGCTCAAGTTTTCGCGAATCACTCTTTGCCTCAATTTGGTGAAAAAGATGCAATTGAGGAATGGTGTAGCACACGGGAAGTCGTTAGGCTTCATCTCAAATAATGAAAGCCATCGTCTGCTTTGAAATATTTGTTAGTTTATTCAGTCACTACAAAATCTATAAAGACTATGGTGGCGCCATTTTCAATGGTAACGACGGCCAATCTTAGATCATTAGGGAAACGACGCTTCCAAATTATAGTCTAGCGAAAATAAGCTCATGTTCATTCCGACCTACATTTCTAACGAGAAAAAATTAAGCACAAATAATACAAATACAAACCATAAAATGTTGGGTATGAGAAGTCGGTTCAGAGATAAGACGGCAGTAACGACTGAAATAACACCGAACACTCTAAGATGCCAAATAGTAATCCGTAACCGTTTGCATGACCCTCACTCCGCAATGCAAAATTGCATAATTTGCCCTAACGGTGTATACCAAGTACTCAGCGTCCATATAAAAATGAGCTTAGTAATTGGAGTTGAGTAAAACACTTTGCTAGACATACATAGGGCAGAAAGATACAATTGAGCAGATTATTGAGGAATAATTGGTAATTTTTGTACAGAAATAGAATACGTGCGTGAAAAATACATGGATGTTTTCGGTTGAAATTTAAAAATCCAAAAATGAACCTCAGGTAGTAGTGTCTAGTGGACACGAATGATATCGCATGTGTAAAACCCGTTTTTTTTTTTATGAAGTGGCATGCGAGACTCTGCGCCGCTTGTCTCCGATAGGTAATTGTAAAACTTAAGAAAAGTAAAACAGGTATGTCAACCCACTGAAAACGGCGTGTGTTAGAGATAAACGCATCTCTAGAGGAAGTTTCCTCTGGACTTTCGGTAATGATTCGATATCTTGAGAAACAGCGATTTCAGTACTGTGCTTGGTTTCTGAAAACGCCTTCTGAGTGTGCCGTATCAGTAAAAATAAAATGTTATCTCATCCCGGCTTATTATTATCATTATTATTATTTCTTGCTCGTCTAGGATGTGAGATAACTTTTCATCAAACTTTTAGAAAGCATCCAATAGCATGAAAGTTATACTGAAATCGTGGTTCACTTCGAAAAGGCTTCCACAGAGCGCTGCAAAAGTGAAAAGAAGATTATGTTTAGCACTCGTAATAGTTAGCCTGCTGCATGAACTTCACAGCGGGTTTATTTATCTCATTTGGCAGCGTAGGGTGGAAATGAGGAGATAATATGAATTGAACGACAAGACAGAGTTTCTTTATCAATTCTAGAACGAGAAACCAGAAATTTCTCAAAGTGGAGACAAAATTATCAAATAAATAACGAAATTC